CAACCGACAACCATTGAATAACAGGCTCCTGACCTAGAACAGGCACATAGAGAATGTGGAAGGACAAAAAATGATTGCTGGCACCAAACCCTCCGGCCCCTTTACTTCGGATAGTGGTGTAACGGTAAGACACGAGAACCAAACAAATCCTGTGTCGAAGACTATCAATAAGTACTTATTCAACATCAAATGGATTAAGTAAAAGAAGGCATTAACAGTCATGCCAATGGAAATGGGGAAACCCAGCGAGAAAATCCCGCACCCGGAGGTGGTTCCCAGCTGGCCCCTAAACAAAACTGTGTACTAGTTCAGAGAAAATGGAGGTCACACTAAACTCCAAAACAAATAAATGAACTAAAATTAAAAAAACGTACAAAAAAAGGTAAGCGGCTCCTGACTTAGGACAGGCGCAAAAATGCGGCAGTCTGTATGTTATCGTAAAACAAACAAAAATAGAACATTGTTGTTCAAAATAACCAAATGTATTGTTGTCAAATTTATCTTTTACGCCATTTCAACATCGCGTATTTCAGACCATCATACATATAAAAAAAGAAGATGTGGTATGATTGCCAATGAAACATATTTTCACCAGAGACAAAATGACACATAAATTAACAACTATAGGTAACCCTACGGCCTTCAATAATCAGCAAATCCCATACTGCATAGTCAGGCCCCGAAATGGCAAATGTAAAACAATTTAAACAAAAAAATTAACAACCTAAATAATGTACCAAAAAACTGAACGAAAAACATATAAATATAAGTAACACAGCAACAAAAGACAACCACCGAATTACAGTCTCCTGACTTGGGACAGGCACTTACATACAGACTTTGGTGGGGTTAAACATGTTAGCGGGATCCACAACCTCCTGACTTGGGACAGGCACATACATAAAGATTGTGGCGGGGTTAAACATGTTAGCGGGATCGCAACCCTCCCCTAACCCGGAACAGTGGAATTAGAGTACATCATAAGAAAGAACTATAAAAATCAGTTGAAAAAGCCTGAACTTATCAGATGGATACAAATAGAAATACATCTAATATCTGAAATCATACATGAACTTCTTAGGAAGAAAGATAAGAAGTTAGCAATATCCTTTAACTTTACTTTCCGCTATAGAGATGATGTTCTCTCATTAAATAATTCTAAATCTGGTGACTTTGTTGAACGCATCTATTCCATCGAACTAGAGATAAAGGATACAACAGATACAGTTAAGTCTGCCTCTTATCTTGACTGACATCTAGAAATTGGCAATGGGGGTCGGTTGAAAACAAAACTTTACGACAAAAGAGATGATTTTAGCTTCCCAATTGTAAATTTTCCATTTCTATGTAGCAACATTCCAGCAGCGCCTGCATACGGAGTATATATCTCCCAATTGTATTTCCTATCACAATTTCCTTGATAGAGGGTTGCTGCTCACAAGGAAGCTATTAAACCAAGAGTTTCAAATGTTGAAGTTGAAATCATCCCTTCATGAATTTTACGGACGCCATCACGAGTTGGTTGACTGTTATGGAATAATCGTTTCACAGATGATATCGGATATGTTCCTCTTGTCGTAACTACTATCCCCTTCCCTTTTCACGAATGGGACCTACCGAATTAGACTATTTATTGGGTTTGAGCAACACAACGGGTGCCACATGTGGAGCAGGATCTGCTTACCCTTCTGGAGCACCTGAGATCACCCCCAGTTTTTGGTGGGGTTCGTGTTGCTTAGTCTTTAGTTTTCTATGTTGTGTCTTGTGTACTATTATTTGTCTGTTAGTCTTTTCCTTTTTTAGCCATGGCGTTGTCAATTTATTTTCGATCTATTAGTTTGACTGTTCCTCTGGTATCTTTCGCCCCTCTTCTTTAACAAAACAGAGAGTGAAAGTGGCCGGGTACTTGTACATCCCAACACGAAATTTAAAAAAACACTAAGTATAGATCTGAGAGTACTCGTACTCGCAGTTACTGACAGTTAGTTCAAAACCAATAAAAACTAATAAAAAGATAATGCATCTAAGACTTAATTATCAAACAATACACATCCACATCCAATAAATTTAGTGTCAAGACGTCATTATACGTTTTTTTAACATTCGTGTTAGCTCAACAGTTAATATAAACAAAGTTTTGTTAATTGTATTACTGAAGGTCGGATCGTACTAATGAGTTCGTATTATGTTATGACTCAGAACATATTAATTAAAAGTAAAAAGAAACATGCCATATAATAAGTATAATATATGTATGAAACAAACTTTTGTTTTTGTATTCATTCCTGGAGCGCATCCATATTGAGTACGTATATCTATGATGAGTTTTTTTAATATATGCAAGAATTTCATGATCTATCCTGATGTATGATAGAGGGTGTTGTTTACAAGAAATTTACTAACCGGGAGGTGGAGTAGGTGGATTTGTTAATACAGCCGTCGCTAATTTGTCACGGATGTTCTAGTCCTTCTGAATGCCATGACTGGTGGTGAGGAAAATACTTTTTTTCAAATTGGAGTCATTCTCTATAATTTTCCAATGCTTTCGAACAATGGTTAACATATTTTTAAAATCAGGATGGTAAGTGAGTACAAGAGGTGTTAAGTTGTCTCCTTTGTTCTTATCCTTGTACACCAGAAGTTCTTGGCGGCTAGATTTTTTTGCTTTTTTGAAAGCTGTATCAATGCTGTTGTTATTGTATCCTCGAATAACTAGATGTTTACGTAGTTGTCCAAGTCTAGCATTTTGCTTATTTTCAGCATATTCTCTTGATTTGCAATGCTTGGCTTAAAGGGATACCACCGGAGCAGTATTTAGGATGGCAACTGTTTGGAGAGAGAAATTGATGTTTGTCTGTTTTCTTCGTATGGAGATCTTTTATAATGGTTCCATTTTGGATGTTACTCGTAGTATCAAGGAAGTTTATTTTCTCCATTGATGTTTCGTGTGTAAATTTAATTGAATGGTGGAAAGAGTTACAGTGTTCTAGAAATTCATTCAGATGGTCTTGTGAATCTGTCCATTTGAAATCAATATCGTCAATAAATCGAAACCATGATAATGGCTGGTATGGAGCACTGGCCACGAGGCGTTTTTCAAGTTGGCCCAAAAATATGTTGGCATATGACGGGGCCATTTTTGTAACCATACTAGTGCTGTCTATCTTTATATAGTGTTTGTCATTGAAAGAGAAGTTGTTGTTCTCCAGCAGTAGTAGCAGAAGTGTAACCAGGCACTCAGTTGGAGGATTTGTGTCACTACGATTGTTCCATACCTCTGCACACGTTGCAATTCCTCCGTCTTGTGGAATATTGGTATATAAAGAAGACACGTCCATAGATGCGAGTATAGCATTGTTTGGTTAAGGATTAAGGCTTTCCATTTTCTTTAAATAATCAGTCGAATCCTGAATGTAAGAGGGGAGTTCTTCAACATGAGGTCTTGTGATGGTCTACAAATTCAGATATCTTTTCATTTGAGTGACTGTTTGCTGAAACAATAGGTCAGACCTCACGTAGTTAATAAATGACTCCAAGTTTTCGTTTTTACTTTTTGGTGGTTTCCATGAACTTTTATTCCTAAATGTTGTGATGAACGTGACTTCTTCATTGTCTACAGTTTCTGAATCTGTTAATCCGGCTTCTTCAAGAAGATTCTTGCCTCTATTGTAGAAAAAATCTATCAAACGTAAACGTCTGGCGAATTGGTCTAAGTCCTCGTCTAGCTGAAAGTTTTTTACATCTGATGGGACAGGAAAGAAGTTTAATATATATTTATATATCAGTGCCTATATATAATTCTACCATGACGTTCTTCAAACGCTTTGAGTACACACCCGTGTTATCGCTCAGGGTAAAATATTTGTCATCAAGGGCCAACCCGTGGTAAAATCACGATATATTCAATCCCCCATGAATTATATGTAAGTGATAAAGAGAATAGATACAGGAAAGATAACAAATGATTAATTATACAGCATCGTCCTTTATATCTCTGTAATATTGACCAATGGACGTTGCAAACATCAACCGAAAATTTCGTAATTGAATAAATAATCTAGAACTTCATCCAAACTTTGATTTTTTTAAAAGGCAACAAACTTCATGTACAATGAGCTGCAATAGTTTCTTAACTGCATCCGATTTCACCTGGATAGATACACGCTCGATGAAACAAGTTTGTCTTGCGAAATTTTGCGTTTATTTTTCATCGTATTGTAAATATTTTTAACATTTAATACTTACATACTAAATAGTGTGTTAAAATTACATTCTCAGGTAATTTATAATATATATAAGCAAATTAATAAAAGATAATAACGTTTCAATTCATCACATTTACTAGCGCTTTCACTGCTTTTACAGATCTTCAGGTAATAAATACATATAACACTTATGTATACAAGTCACATTACCTAAAGATCTGTAAAAGCATCGAAAGCGCTAGAAAATGTGATGAACTGAAACCGCTATTACCTTTTATTAATTTTTTTATATGTTACCAGCATACGGATTCTACTTTTCTTTATATATATTGAAAAGTTATAAATTTTGTTCACGCTGTACATAAGATATGAAAAAAATAAGGCTGAAAAAGTGCTAAATATTTATATTCAATATGAATTTTCACATTTTGTTTATTAAGAAATCTAATTGTTCAAAAATGTTCTCAATAGTTTCCTATCGGTTTCACTGTTTCACAGATATTCATGGATATGGTTGCCAGCGACGTCGTCAGGGGTAACGTCTATTAGCGATACCATTATTTAATCCTGAACGTCATAATATAGTACAACGTAGGTATTTAAAACGAAAGTGAAAGTACATAATTATAAAAAAAAAGAAATGCCTTCCGGATTCTCATTTCATATATTCAATTTAGGACGGTATTTCTTAATTTCTATATATATATATATATATATATATAAGGGTATAAATATGTTCGTCAGAAACTACATTGTAGAAATGGGATAGATATTGCAATCCTACCTTCCGTTGTGATTTTTTCATGCATTGTTTTCTTTTTTATTCTACGAAAGATTAAAAAAAAAAAGAAACTAGAATTTTGTGTTGTCATCATGTGTACAGTAACAGAGATACAAATGTATGTGCGTATTACATTCAATCTTTCAATCTTTATTATTACACAATGTTCATCAATTTCAGTTCTTGTATCTGTTGCATGTAAATAACATGAATTTAATATACAGCATATTGGTGATTTACCTATGAATGAAATTAACACTCAATCTTTTCATGATTTACCTTGATCAAGAACGCTAAAACCTAAAGATTTGTTAAGCCAGGGTTCTATAAAACATAAACACGAGCTTATCCAGTGTTTTTCGTTGAATGCTGTATGTCGTAGATATTTTCCGTGTATTGTTTAAGTATACACCAGACCGTTTGTTTGCATTTTTGACTAGTCACAACTTGTCTTCCCGAGGCCTTTAAAGCTTAAAACGGTAGGAGACTACTTTCCATTTAGAGCTTATAAACCAAGATGTGAACAACTACAAATCACCATATGACCTCCAACACTGAGCAAAACGTAAACCGTATAGTTAGCGAACAAAGGCCCTAGAATAAAAACAATTATAACAAATCATAATTAGAAGAGAAATACAACAAGTGGAACAATAACCGAAAAATAATTATTGCATGCATGAACCCACAACCCCTAGATTATAGGCATCTCTAGTTGGGTTAGGCATATAGAATAAGCGGATAATTCCAAGCCTTAAACGGTAGTGGATCAGGGGAAAGAAGATATCAAGAGTATGAATGGGGCAATTGAAAATCAAAAGTTAAATAAATCACATAACGACATGGCCACAAATTTCAAACGATAATAAAACCAACAATATATAGTGTAAATGATCTCAGTACAGAAGAACTGACAATTGATCTGATGATAGTCCCTGGGTCTAACAAGTTTACTAGCAACGATATCGACCGTGTCCGAAGTTTTTTTTCTAATTTTAACTTCATAAGGAACCCTGAAACCCATATTTTCAAAGCCACCTTGGATTATTTAAATACGCAAAAACGTTTGGGTACTGTATATAGCCAAATTCATCTTAGGTCACTTAAAATAGCAATCAAAACATTTTACACGGATTCTGTATTAAGATGTTATTAGAATTAGAACTTACATTTTTTTTTTTATGTAGTTTTATCTTTCATTGATATAGCAAAAAACTTATCATCATTACGAGTAATCTGTACATTTTATACGTGACTGTTTACTACACTGAATTAAGAAAATACATCTTTGCAGATCACAATTCTAGTTAAAATGGCCGATATTGCTCTCAACTCACTGAAATCTATTTTTCTGCCATTGACAGACATATGGTCAGTGTTCTTGAATTGTTCGACGTCAAATTCAAACTGTGTACTGTATGAAGATAATTCGTCAAAGGCTGTAACTTTTTATTGTAAATGATGTTTCAACCTAAAAATACACAATATGACAATATTCAAATAACACACAAGTCACAAGTTATATATATGTTGACATCGCGATTGATAACAGTTAATAGACACAATAATCAGTTCAAACACTCGATAAACAAAAATGGTGATATCACTTACGCATTGACGGCCTATTTCATATCAATCATTTGCTATTAACTTGTTGGTTTTCCAGGAAGAACAAAACAAGTTCAAAAACCATTCCAGGGTTAATCGAGAAAGGGGAAAGTAACGAGTCTGTATACTGTACTTTTCTACTCATAATAATACCTCCATTATTTGGAATACCACTTCTTTAACGTATACTGTACTTTATCACATCATCAGTTCAGGATAAATCCGTCATAAAATCAATACTAATATCGGAAATGTTATCAGATTAAAATAATCGCCATACAATCCAAAATTAATTATCAATCAAAGTTATAATGTGTATCGATCCGATACATTCCCCGCCATAAAGTTTCTGTGAAGTTACATCTCATTTGTTACTAATTTGTTCTTCAACTGGAAGCAACACTACAATTCTGTATGCAGATCTTCGGATCAATAAGTCCTGAGTTCCGGTGTATTTAGTTCCAGGTCCAATGTTCTTGTATCGAACGGTTACATCCCTTGTCACACCATCTCTACTTGACTTTGCTTCAACTATTTGTCCTAATTTCCAATTACTACGAAATGAATTATTGTCCTGTACAAGAACAAGGTCCAAAACTTGAAGGTTCCGCTTACTGATATGCCATTTTTGCCTAATAATTAGCGATGGAAAATAATCTCTGTGCCATTTTCTCCAAAATGTATTAACTACTTGTTGCACGAATTTCCAACGTTTTTTGAAATTGTCTGATTCATCCCAATGTCCTACTGGCACATTCGAAGATGCTCTTCCAAGAATAAGATCATTCGGACATAAGTAAGTTCCCTCGTTCGGATCAGACGTTGAAGTTCCTATAGGTCGCTCATTCAAAATGTTGGCTACTTCAAATAACACGGTTTGTTGTTCAGAAAATGTCATGATTGACTGTCCAATGGCAAGACTCAAACTTTTCTTGACAGATTTAATCAATGCTTCACTGCATCCATTTTCCCAAGGAGCGTCAGCTGCTTTCGTGAATTCCCATTCCATGCCATTACCGTTCCCAAACATTTTGATCGTATCCCAATGCCAATTGTGTATCACTTCCTTTAGTTCCTTACTAGCTGATACTAGTTGTGATCCAAGATCCGACCTTATTTTCTTAGGATATCCTCTTACAGATGTGAATCGTCGTAAAACCATAATAAAACTACTAGTATCGTATCCATCAGCGAGATCCACATACACAGCTCTACTGTTCATGCAATTGAACAGTACGCCATATGCTTTTCCATGAGTGCGCCCCTTAATGGTATCCTTGATTGTAAGAGGTCCAAAGAGGTCAACTGAACAGTACGAAAACGCTGGTGACGGTTGAAGTCGTTCCAAAGGTAATGGTCCCATTTGTTGTCCAATACATTTGTTATCTCGCCTTCGACATATAACGCACTTTTTCCTAATCATTGAAATGGATTTGCGCACCTTTGGTATCCAGAATTTGCTTCTCACTTTAGCTAATGTTACATCTACTCCTGCGTGATCCTGATCATGTACTGACTTTAAATATAACCACACATAATGCCTTTTATTAGGTAACAGCATTAAATCAGTTCTGTTCCAAGTAGCTTTCAGCCAATCAGCTAATCTTTTACCAACAACAACTATACCCGCCTCATTCTTTTCTGGAGATAGTCTTCGAAAGGTCTTTGTCCAATCATCCGAAATGTCTCTTTGTAAATATCTAATCCATTTAAGTGCTGCAGCATTTTGACTTTCGGCAGTTATACCAATTGAAGCACCTTTGAATGATTTCGTAGTGACGGTACGCATCAGTATGCATGTTTCTCGCAAAAGTTTTGAATATGAAGAAATGTTTTCCAGTTTAACATCTTCAAAATCCAAACCAGACATTGTATTAGTCATCTTCTTGATGTCAGATGGCATAACAATACCTATCGTGTCGGGTAACTCGTCATTACCTAAATTACAATCTTGCCTTAAAGGCCACTTGTCTATTGGATCATTCAAAAATTTAGGTCCATTTTTCCATATTGAGTTCTTAACCAAATCATTAGATGTAATCCTTGTCGCGAGGTCCGCTGCATTGAATTCACTTGGCATCCACTACCAATCGGATGGTTCAGTCTTATTTTGAATTTCTGCTACCCTTGTAGCAACAAATGTGCCGAATCCATAACTCTCTCGTTGAATTTGTGCCCTAACAATCATCGAATCGACTATGTGTATAACACGACTAAATTTGTAATCCATCTCCTCGACTAACTTTTGTCTAATTCTAGCTGCCAATACAGCTCCACATAATTTCAGTCTTGGAACAGACATCTGTTTAGTTTGTGCTATACGGTTCTTTGCTATCACTAATCGTGATTCAAATCCTCCGTGTGCTGTTTCCCATCTGACATATGCACATGTTCCATAAGCTAATTTACTTCCATCCAAAAATATGACTAGCATGGGATTCCCAACAGCATTATCGGGTTTTAAACATCTGTGAAATTTCAACTGTTCTATGTCGAAAAGCTCTTTGAAAAAATCCATCCATTCTAATCGTGATTCTGCTGACATGGCATAATCCCATCGAGAATTGACTAGACCTTGTCATTCGTATTGTTTTATATGCATAGCTTTCGCATGAGAACTTTAGCCGCTAAAGTATACGGAGTAGCAAGTCCTAACGGATCATATACACTAGCAACTTGGCTGAGTACCATTCGAGGAGTTAATGATGTAGGTACGCTACTTTCAATCTGTGATTTCGTTATATTTTCTCCTTTCCGAACATTCTTGTACTTAGGAGAAAAATTAATCTTCACCTTGAAATCAAACAAGTCTTGTTTTGGATCCCACCTCATTCCGAGAATTTTTTCATGTGCAAATTCATCTAAATCAACCTCCACGGATTCACCACTATCTTGGGATTGTAATGTACTGCCGCATTTTTCATTTCCAGATATAATCCAATGTTTAATGCGGAAACCTCCACATGCCAGCATTTTCTCGGTCTGCTGGGTTATCAAACGAGCATTATCTACACTTTCAACTGACTGTAATATATCATCTACATAACTGTTTCTTATCACCATTTTTGATGCATCTGGGTAGATGTGTTGATACATTTTTGCTGTTTGATGTAATGCAAGTGTCGAAATCGCTCCACTCGGTCTGTCGCCAAAAGTAACTGTTAACAATGCAAAGTGATCTGGATCTCTGTGTGTTTCTAAATTTCTCCACACAAATCGGTGTGTGTGCTGATCTAACGGCGAAAGTCTTATCGCATTGTACATTTTTGAAATGTCACCAGCCAAGGCTATGGATTCTTCTCACAAATCATTGATCACATTGGACCCTTTCGTCCAATAGTCATTGAGAGTGTGTCCCATATAAGATGACGAGGAGTTAAACACAATTCTTAATGGTGTCGACTTTGATTCGGGTTTTAACACCTCGTGATGTGGTATGTAATGTACCGGACCGCTATGAATCTCCATCTCCTCCTTCGTCAATTTTCTTGCTATGCCACGTTTCACCATATCCATAATCTGTTCATCGTAGGCACTTGCATATTCTAATGAATTTCGAAGTAGTCGTTTTTCAGTAGATCCAAGTCTTGATACGGCTGACTTCACGTTATTTGGAAGGTTGTTTTGATTTTTTATCCAGGGGTAATTTACTATCCATTGCTTTTGATTCTTCATCATGTGTCATGCCTGATTTAATGATATTTAATTCTCTCTCCTCCCTTATACTGTGTTGTGATTGTCCTATAGCACATTTGACACACTTACATGAACAACATTTTAATGTGGTTTGTTTCCCGGGTCCTTCTATGTCAAAAAATGAATCTTATTTGTCCTTAATACTGTCTTTGTCCAATACATGAATATCATTTAAAGGAATGGTTTTCCCGGATGCCCAGTAAATACGGACTATGCCATGGTTTGACAATTTTGGCACTTCTAGAAGTGGATGGCTGCCACGAATGCAGTACCCAAACTGATTTCTCATTAACTGTAGATTTCCAATTTGTTCTTCTTTATTGGGCATTAAAATACAACAATCTGTGCCGATCAATATGTCTACTTGGCCAGTTGGCCTTTGAATGTCATTCTTGTTGATACCTTTGAACAGTTGGTTGACTCTACTCATATCAACTCTTGCAACCTCGGCTGTAACTTCCTCCATGCCATATGCTTTTATTGTCCATATTTTTCCTCTAAGGTCAGTCAAAGGTATTACATACTCTTTACTTTGTACGTGCTCGGTTACATTTCCAACCTTCGTCACAGATAATGTTATATCTTGTCCAGATAACCCTAATCGTTTAGCAGTTTTGTGTGTGATCAGTGACATGTTCGCTCCAGGGTCCCAAAGTGTTGTCAACGACATGTCCTTACACTGAACTGAACTGATCATTAATAGTACTCCATTCTTGTTCTTGTCATCGTTTATCACTTGTGAAGAGTTATGAAAGGATATGCCATCCATGTGTGCAGTGTGCAAATTTTTGTGATGAATTTTCCCACATGTTTGATGAAGCTCATTTTGTATGTCACAAGGTTTACGGCTGTGACAATGTCTTGACAAATGTCCTATCTTTAGACAACTGAAACATCCACCATTTTTTCTCACTAAATCAACCTTCGTCTGACTATCTAATCTCGCAAATATAGAACAATCACCTATTTCATGATTATCTGATTTGTGATACCAACACTTAAACTTCCCTTCTGTATTTCTATTTGTACCGGTATATTTGTCTGAATTGTATCGATTTGTCGGTTTGTTTGACATTTCTTGCGCTACCTGTGCAAGACCTTCAACAACCTGTTTCATCACTTGCTGGTTCTCTTGTAATTGCACTTGTAAGGGATCTACAGCTACACCATTATTATTCTCGTCATTTTCTGATTCATTTGCATCAAAAGTATTTATCTTTCCCTTTGCTGTTCCATATTCACGCAAATCAGACTCCATGTACTCTAGAGCACTTTTTTCCTCTAATAAAAAGTTTAAGAATTCTTTGAAACTCAGTGGAATACTTTTCGATTCTGTCTTCTGCTTTCGTAATGCCCATTCACGTTTTTGTATAGGCGGTAGGAGTTTTTCTATCTGACTCACCATAGTTGCTGTGTTCATCTCTGCTTCGAGGTTCATACGTTTTAAATCAAGCCAATATTTCTCGACAGTTTCTACTACCGAAATAAACTTCATGTTGTCACCTTCTTGAACATTCTTTAATCTTTTCAATTCATTTAATATGTGATCGATCAATTTCTCTGCTCTGCCATATTTCATATCAAGACGCCGAAACATTTCCTCGAAATCATTGTCAACACCTTTCACGACAGTTAATGCTTCACCAATTTAACATTGCTTCAGAGCATATGGATCTTTACCGTATGACGATAGCATGTGTCTTTCATAATCCACTTTGAAACTTGGATAATCACGAATGCTGCCAGCAAAAATAGGAGCCTCTAATTTTTTTACCCTAAACGTTTCAGTATCTTTATTTTTCTTAGCATGCTTCATTGAGTTTTGTTCCTTTAACTTACTGTACTGTTCATGTTTTATCTTTTGTCTTAGATTCTCACACAATGATCTTGATTTACAAAGTTCTCGGTACATACCAGTTAGATCATGATTAAGTTCATTTATCTTTGGTTTGTCTTCTTCACTTTCAGAATCAAATGTTTCTAAAAATACCTCATGTCTTGCTTCTAGTTCTGTATATGCTGTTTCCAAATCTTGAAGTATTTTTTCAACCACAATTGTCCCTAACTCATCTTGTATTCCTTCTAGTAAACGACCATTTATTCTATAAAATCTCCCTTTGGCCGTACTTCTTTTCTTTTTTGTTAACCTTTTGTGATCAGCATCAACAGACATCTTGCCTTGCGTTGAAATGTACGAAAATAATTCGTCAAAGGCTGTAACTTTTTATTGTAAATGATGTTTCAACCTAAAAATACACAATATGACAATATTCAAATAACACACAAGTCACAAGTTATATATATGTTGACATCGCGATTGATAACAGTTAATAGACACAATAATCAGTTCAAACACTCGATAAACAATAATGTTGATATCACTTACGCATTGACGGCCTATTTCATATCAATCATTTGCTATTAACTTGTTGGTTTTCCAGGAAGAACAAAACAAGTTCAAAAACCATTCCAGGGTTAATCGAGAAAGGGGAAAGAAACGAGTCTGTATTCTGTACTTTTCTACTCATAATAATACCTCCATTATTTGGAGTACCACTTCTTTAATGTATACTGTACTTTATCACATCATCAGTTCAGGATAAATCCGTCATAAAATCAATACTAATATCGGAAATGTTTTCAGATTAAAATAATCGCCATACAATCCAAAATTAATTATCAATCAAAGTTATAATGTTTATCGATCCGATACAGTGTACTACGTCATTGCATGAGACACATGTTTCAGGAAAAATCTAAAATGGGTTGTGCATAAGACCAAGGAAGCCACATATACATAATGTTCGGGGCATCAAAACCAAAATCATTCTTAACAATACAGCCATTGTCGTTTACGGTAATGTTGTTCGTATAGAGTTGCAATTCTAACTACACTGCATTTTGATAATATGGGATTTGGAGATTTACATTTTTTATGTGTAATTTTTTTTTTGCATGCTGGTACCCACGCATATATGCGAATTATATAATTTGTAGTAAAATATACGTTTAGGGTGCTATAAACAGTTTCGTATAAAAAAAACTAGGGGTTATTCCCCGACTAAAAATAACCATGGAGGGAAATCCCTTTTTATTCATATCATTGGTGAAAAAGTATCATGTTTTTTGTATTTGATTGTAAAAATTAGTTAATTAGCTTTCAATTTAAACAGGTTAAATGATGAAAATAATTTTAAAAATTAGATTAAATATACATGTTTTGAGGGGAGACAACACTGTAAACATCCTGTGTTTTTGGCAGTGAAAATTGAAAACTTATTTGCAGCCACTGTAGCTCTTTTCGAAGCAGGAAACCGTACCCTGAAACAAGATTTTTATTAAAGGCCAGGTAAAAACCTATGAATTTCATACAGTTTTGATTATGGGAAATGTGCCTGCATCATGTTTACATGGGTATGCACATGACCTGATTTCAGTTTTTTTATGTTCAGATTAGGCAACTTTTTCCCCATTTTCTCTGGATAGAACTTTTTTACAATATTAAAAGTACAGTATATTTTTATTTCAATATAAACTAGAGAAAATTCTGATTCCAGTAATATCTAGTTTTATACAAGTATCTTTATTAACCATTCCACCACTAAGGGTCACTTAGGCATGGTCTCTTAAAAAATGACGTCATAGAAAAAAACTGTTGATTTCACCCATAATTCCGACTTACTGAATAAGGCGCAACCATGGACTCAGTTTGACAAATCATGGTTGTATTGTTTGTAAATAAGTGAGTAAATCATTTAACAAAACAACATCGAAAAATGTCATCGATATGAAATTTTAAAGATCTGGTTTGAATTGTGAAAGTATCTTTTAGACCAAGTATTCAAAGTGGTAAAGTTAGAGTCATCCCTCCAATAAATTTTACCAACGCCATCATGAGATGGAAGACTGTTAAGAAATATCTGTTTCAAATATGACGATGAACATGTTTTAATTCTCGTAACCAAAAGTCCGTCCTTTTTTCCTCGAATGAGATTTATCAACGAATGTGCATTTATATGAACAAAGCTACAGGTGTCTTATGTAAATTACATTTTGATCAACATTCAATGTATTATCACTGAATGTTTTCATTTTTGTGAAAATTGCGACGGATTAGGATAGAAAAAATAAAAACATCGGAAAAAGTATTAGATTTAAAGTTTTCTGATTAAGTTCACTTTAAATAGTTAAATTGAAAAATGTGCCTTTTAGCGAAAGAAATGTCACGAAACAAAATAAATAACATGGCAACGAATTGTATAAAGTTAATAGAATAAAAAACTTACAACGTGAGTTGGTTTTTTTTTTCGCCAACTTACATAAACATATTTTTGTTAAAAACTTGTTTCCCTTCTTGCTAACAAAACAATCATTTTTTTCGTATTCCGATAAGTCAAATGTTACAGTACCTTTTAATTTTGACTTCTCAGAATACGGAATTCAGCTTCAATCAATGTTTTAAATTCTACCTGTTAAAGGACAACGAAAGAGTCAGCAATTTTCTTACTTTTGAACCCTTTCTTCAAAACAACAGTTTTCTTTTCCGGGCCATCGTTAAAAGTAAACGTTGGGGCATAAAAAACTGTATGCTTAATACAGGCAATGCATAGAATAAAAATCCTTGATACAGGTACGCCGCTAAAACGATTGTGAAGTGCAAACTTCAAAACGATTATGTAATCAAAGTTGTAAAAACAATCATTTAGTTGGTAACTGACGCTATTTTACCACACATTCTAATTTAACAATAAAATTAACACCTTTAGTAATTAGTCTTTTGTTGCCTATTGCTATCAAATGCAATCGGTTAATTATTTTCTGTCAAAATGGATACGCGTGACGAGTTCAAGGTCAAATCCGAGTATAGTCTGATTAGGGAAAAGGTCCAAGACATGATTTTTAATCGCCACATTTTTTCTTTTATTCCTAAAAAAAGGATACCCTGGTATTCTTTCAATACAAAATTTTTTTTTACCCTTTTTGAAGCTTGCCGAGGGAATCCGAAGTCATTTTTAGGGATTTTATACTTATATCTTATTGTTTTTAAGAATCAAGTAGTATATTATGGTGCCAATAATTTTAAATATCTGACATTAGTTCACTTTATTGAAATTGTTATCAGTTCAATCATCGACATGCCAGCCGATAACACACCAAACTGATATTTGTTCCACCCCTGTCCAGTTAGCCTATAACACTTATTGCTACAAGTTATGTAACAAGACGAAATCAGAGACCAACCTGCAAGAAAAAATCCAGAAACTGGAGAAGGAGCTGGTTGTCAGTAAGAAAGATACTAATAGTAAGCTTCTGTTTGGATATTTTAATTGAATGTTGTTATTTGTGTAGGTTTAATTCGAGCGTCACTGGTGATACTTTTGTAGACGAAACGCGCGTCTGGTGTACAAACTTTTAATCCTGGTATATATAATCAGTTATACTTGTCTTATAGGTTGTTTAGGTAAAAGTAATTTAAAGAAATGTGTATGCAAGTAAAACTAGTTAAACTGCATCTGAATATCTAAATGATATAAGTAGCAATGTTTTTTGCTATTTCTCAAACATCCATCTTGAACACCTTGTTCGTTATTGCTGTTCAAATAATTTAAGTATGGGTGATATATGATAACAAACAAACACGATACTATATCGTGATACCGCCACTGCGTTATGCATATTTGCTCGTCATTGTTATTTTCCCCGAATAATCGAGAATAAATTGATGTTTTCTTATAAATTTAATTTTGATGTCATTAAAAGTGAAATGTTAACGCTTTTTTCTACGTTATATAATTTAGAAAACTATTTTACAGATTTTTGATTGGTTGTATCTCTCGACGTAAAATTTGCTACATATATCATTTGCCGTTATTCGGCTATAGTTAAACGAGAGCTAAATGCATACAAAATTTAATTAAGATACGAAATATCGCTCAATTACGTCTATACTTAGCGATAATGGATTGTTTCTGCTTTACGGGGACTTAACTCAGAACATATGTGTACGTGTTGGTATCGATAAACTTCTCCGTTTTGATTTAATATGTTGGCTATACTCTGTTGATCACAAATTCAATTGTTTGTAATATTGAGAATTCCATGGAAAATTGCAGCCACCTTTAAATATAAATTTGGCCATCTTTGTGTAACTCGAGAACATACGCATGACAACTTTTACAAGATAAAACTATAATCGTAATTTTAAATATTTTAATTTTGTATAAAAAAAAAATGCCACGCAACAGCATTGCCGGCTTTTAATCACAAAGACTATATAATGTCTAACATTATTGTTTGCTCAATACAAAATATATATGACCTTTTATTTACAGAACACATGAGGTCTTTAACAAGTGCCCCTGACAACAGATATTCAACAAAAACTATGGGTTTAGTTGGAACAGTGTGTATTGCAGTCGTTGTTGGATTTCTTGTTGCATTCGACTGTGTAAACATTTGTCAAAAATGTTCAAAGACAAATAAAGTGACCACAGAGAAATAGAATTGCACTTACGAAAAAATCAAAGAAGAAAATGAACTAGAACAAAAATCATGAACTTAGATTCATTATATTGGACAGAGTGTAGAGTTGTTTATTCCCTTGCTATTGCTAATATTTTCTACATGAATCTGATTTAGATTAATTAACGTCAGACAGGCTACATTTTTCGGTTACTCTTCTATCAGTAAACGTGAAAAGTCAGGCTGATATGGTTGAGGAGTCCAAATGAATCAAGTTGTAAACATTCTGCTAAAACAATTAGCTAGGTTTTATTTAATATCAAAATAACAGGTATTAGTTGCAAAACTCCTATAAGATAACAGTTTTGTTAAGTCTGATCACAATTCTAGGTATCATGACATTTTTATATTAAATTCAGTATAAGGGCAACAGTAGTATACCGCTGTTCAAAAGTCATCAATCGATTAAGAGAAAACAAATCCGGATTACAAACTAAAACTGAGGGAAACACATCAACTATAAGAGGAAAACAACGGAACAACAGAAACACTGAACTGCAACAAAAACAAACGCCAGCATACATAAAAACAGACTATTTGATAACAACTGCCATATTCCTGACTTCGTACAGGACATTTTAAGAAAAAATGGTCGGTTGAACCTGGTTCTAGGGCTAGCCAAACCTCCCGCTTATATGGCAATGTTAAAAACTATCGCTAAAATTACAACACTACGTGACAGGAATACAGTACAAACGCAAGAACACAAAGAAATCCATAAATAAATAATATAACAGTACATAACAACATGTAAACCACAGAATAACAACGGACATCTCCAATTAACAACTGCACATGACACCACAAACTGCGCGTCACATGAATAGATCAACGTCACAAAAAGTGACGTATTTATAATCTTGAAATTCATACAATTATTTGGAACGAGATGAAAAAATTCACATTTAATTTTCACAATACTTGTCCAAATAATTATGATTATGAGGCTATTTTAAATAAATGCTGTGACGACGTCATAATTATTTGGACTAACATAATACTTTATCCATGCAAAATGGAAATTAACTCGACTATACTGACAAATAAGACATATGTGAAATGTACCGAAAATACAGCATTCAAACCACAAACAATAAGACATAACACAATATCTAACCGTACTTACATCATAACTAAATACATGAATGTTGGATGTATAAATACCGAGACACGTCGTATTGCAACG